CACAATCACAAAATTTAAAAGTTACGTTACTTATTTTATGGTCACAAACATCAATTTATTGGTCACAAATTAATAATTTTTAGGTCACAAATTAGTAATGTTTAGGTCACACAGTTTGTATTGGTCACAACTTATCGAATTCATTGGTCACAAATTGTTTATTGGTCACAAGCAATCAAATCATTTGTGACCATTACCAAATCATTTGTGATCACCACTACCTCCACCAGCGGCACCACCACCGTCGCCCGCAGAAACACATCTAAACCGCACTATCACCACCGCAGCGCACAAACCACCCAAACCACCACCCATCAGCCCAAACAACCAACATCATATTCGCCGCCAACAGATCCGTCGCCAACAACAACAAACAACAATAGCCTTCCACGCACATCACCCACTGCCATCCGCACAAAATAACCACGACCACCAATCCGCAACGCTCGATCCACAACATACAACACGTCGCTGCACCGTTTACAACCATTTCACCGCACGCACGCACCGCCGCACCTACCAAAAATAGATCTGCATCAACTACCACCGTTGCACCCACCACAAAAATAGATCTGCATCCTTCAACTCAACCATCGCACGACCTCAGCCACGCCACTCAATTTTAAATAAAAAAAGAAAAAAAAGGATAGACGATGGATCTGTGAAGAAAGGCAGAGGCGACGGATCGATTGGAAAACAGAACATGGTCGACGGTTGGATCGGTGAAGTTGCCGGTAGAAAACGATGGTAACGGTGCAGTAAGATCTCTGTAGCGGGGGCAAAAACTACAGCGCAGGACTGCGTGTACTTCTACAACGACGGTGGCTCTTCGATGTAGCAGCAAGATCTCTGTAGTCTCCGACAGAAGTATCAATAGATGGATGGGAGGGATCGACGGAGGAAGGTAGAGAGAGAGAGAGAGAGAGAGGACGGGGAGGGGGAAATGATTAGGGATTTGGATGGGAGGTTAGAATGAATTTTAGGGTTGATTTATTTTAATTGGGATGAAAATAATATAATTAATATTCAATTAAATATTAAAACCTGATTTTTGAAAAGTTAAACTCGTGATATGATTTTTGAAAGTGGAAATCTAAAACCAAGGTAGGGTGTAATTTCCTCAATATTACTTACGTCCAATTGTTAAAATCAAAGCCCAAACCGCATTTTCTCCCTCCTCAAACACTTTGCCGGCGACGCTCATCTACACACGAGATCCGAAGATCGCAAACCGACAGGCGACAGTCGAAAACTCTTTTTCTCGTGAGTGCTCAAAGCCTCAAATAAGGGACGGAAACTCTTTTTTATTGTCTAATACAAGCCCAGGGAATACTTTGGATCCCTTCTTTCTCGAAAGCTATGAATGACTATTGGCAGATATAATTATGAAACTGTTAGTTTCTGTTTTTCATCTTCAAATTTTCGATTTTCAAAATTTTCATCAGCATCATCCCTTTTTCTTCAAATTTCGGTGGGCTTTGAAGATTAGGCAGTCACAACTTAAAAATTTAAAAGTCACAATTGGTTCATCGGTCACAATCACAAAATTTAAAAGTTACGTTACTTATTTTATGATCACAAACATCAATTTATTGGTCACAAATTAATAATTTTTAGGTCACAAACTAGTAATTTTTAGGTCACATAGTTTGTATTGATCACAACTTATCGAATTCATTGGTCACAAATTGTTTATTGGTCACAAGCAATCAAATTATTTGTGACCATCACCAAATCATTTGTGACCACCACTTCACCACTGCCTCCACCAGCGGCACCACCACCGTCGCCCGCAGAAACACATCTAAACCGCACTATCACCACTGCAGCGCACAAACCACCCAAACCACCACCCATCAGCCCAAACAACCAACATCATATTCGCCGCCAACAGATCCGCCGCCAACAACAACAAACAACAATAGCCTTCCACGCGCATCACCCACTGACATCCGCACAAAATAACCACGACCACCAATCCGCAACGCTCGATCCACAACACACAACACGTCGCTGCACCGTTTACAACCATTTCACCACACGCACGCACCGTCGCACCCACCAAAAATAGATCTGCATCAACTACCACCGCTGCACCCACCACAAAAATAGATCTGCATCCTCCAACTCAACCATCGCACAACCTCAGCCACACCACTCAATTTTAAATAAAAAAAAAAGAAAAAAAAGGATAGACGATGGATCTGTGAAGAAAGGCAGAGGCGATGGATCGATTGGAAAATAGAACATGGTCGACGGTTGGATCGGTGAAGTTGCCGGCAGAAAACGATGGTAACGGTGCAGTAAGATCGCTATAGTGGGGGCGAAAACTACAGCGTAGGACTGCGTGTACTTCTACAACGACGGTGGCTCTTCGATGTAGCGGCAAGATCTCTG